TTGAGAGGTTTTGAAACCTCTCAAAAGGTCCTGGAAGGTCACTATTTCGCCTGTGCTCGCCCTGTGGGGGGGTGTGGGTAGTGTGGCAAGGGTCTGTAAGGCCCCCCGTGGGGGGTGGGGGAGCATCGCAAGGGTCCTGGAAGGCTCCCTCGGACCCTTGCGACGCTCCCCCCCACAGGGCCAGGGGGGGCGAAGTCACCACCTTCGCTCCATAAGACGCACAGACTTTCTACCCCCCTTTTGGAGGGGAAAAAAGTGTGTCTTATGGAGCGAAAAATACGGTATGTTTTGCACATAGATTTATACCTGCATGCATATATGAATGGGGTTTGATTGATAGGTGTAAGTTAAAACAGGTGAGAAGCACTGAAGAGTATCTGTGCATGGAACTGCATGCTAACTGGTTAAGATGATTCGGGGTGGACAGATGCTATATATAAGGGTGTGTGTTTGAGAAAAGAAAATAATTCTAAGGAAAAGATTTGGGGTATTACATTGTGCTGTAAACTAGAAAGAGGGCTGTACAAACAACCTTGAGAGCTTTTAATACTGAACCTTTTTATTTTGGGGGGTTTCTGTTTTAGCTTCTTTTTGCTTTACAGATTCTGTTTATTATCTATAGAGGTAGCTGTCATGTGACACTTTATTGGCCAGTGGTTGGACACATAGTTTATGTTGTGTAACTAAAGTAACTAGTGCTACATGTTTCACCTGAAGAATACTTAATTTTGTTAAAGGGTTGTGAAAAATCAGCCCTTAACTCTGACCGTGCTTGAACAGCAGCATATAAGGGAACATTGGCTGTTTACTTCGATTAATGATAGGAATAATTCAGGAGAAGGAGTGCCTAGTCACACATTACACAACAATCGCAATTTTAGTTCAGGGGTGGTTACTGATCTGGTAGCAGCACACACATGTAAAAATGGTGTGGGAATCACAATTATTTTCAAATAAGTGTCAAAAAATTTCAGTTCTGAAGTGACATAAAAATACAGTTTCTGGACAGTGAGTATTCCAACTGCTTCATATTCTCTTTCCTTTCTCTTTTACCCTTACAGATTTTTATTAACCATAGTTCACCATGATATCTAAATTGGCAAGCTATGGTTATTGCCTTGATTTTCCCTTGCAGGGCTACTGCCTTAGCTTGGATAGAAAGTATTGTCCATAGTTTTCCCCTTTCACGTGTCACAGTAAACTATGATTAGCAGTGTCAAAAGGGAAACCAAAACAAAAAAGAAAGAAGAAAACTGAAAGTGCCAACATGGCAAGGTACTGACAAGTGTTATTAAGTCACAAGTGGATGTGTTTGAACTGAGACACAAAGAAGGAAACAGTGAGTATCTCCTGAAAGAAAACAAAGCAAAGCAAATATTTGTTCAGCCAGAGACTACACCATAATGAGCTTGTGCAACTGGTTACAAAAAGGTGTTATAAGAACCACTACCTTAAATGGGTCTTGAAAAGAATTAATGATTTTTGTAGCACAGAACTCTTAATGGCTATTACCAATGATAGCTACATCTAACCCCAATGTTTAAAGTTCATGCCTTGCTTGTGAGTGCCCAGAGCACATGGTGGATGAATGTCAATGGACAATTTAAAATGTAAAAGATTTTTAAAATTTAAATGGGATTTTTAAAATAATTTTTCATAAAAACATAATGCATGCACTATCAATCATTTTGATATTAATCTATGATGTTGGGAAAGCATATTGTTCATGTCAACTCTGGACCATGTATTGTTCAAGAAAAAGGTCACAGTGACAGGACAAGCCTACTGTACATTCTTTACCTTCTCTTCTTCGTTCTCATGACAAACCAGCATATTCAAAATTTTCCCTCCGAGGTTAAACATTGCCATTACAATTTAAAGAAACTAGCTTTGTATCAAAGGATTAATACTCAACGGATGACAAGAGAAGTGGGAAAGGCAGGAAAACAGGGTAACATATTGTATACTTATGCAAATTGCTTTTATAAGGTTAAATTGAGAGGTAATTAACCCTAATTTCAAATAAATGTTATAGCTGCATTATAATTCCAGCCTGAGTAAAATGAAGAAGTCTCTAAACAGTTAAAGTTTTAGAGTTAAGTTTTGCAGGGTAAGGCATCTATCCACACTTGCATGTGTACAATATGATTTCCATGCAGATTAAGGCATGACAAAGTCAACTAAACTAACGGTATCTGCAAATCTAAAGTAAAAAGAAATTTCAGTTTACATAAAGCTTTTTTTCAGTTATGACACATTTTAATTGCATTTGATCAAATGTTTGCTTCTATTGCTGTTTTCTTATATAGCAAGCTAAGAGTATTGAATATTGCCACATTCAAATGCTTCTTGGAAACAAATATCATTCTAGATCCATGCTCAGCAGCTCTCAATAGATTGTGAAGATGTTAGGTCTGGATTTCCTCAACTAATTCTTGTCCTTTTGGATTCTCACAGGTATTTTCAAAGCATTCTTACTGGCAAAACTGACTTCTTTCACCTGCTAGCTCTCCACCGAAGAGTACTGCTAGATCTGTGCCCATCACTCTGAAGCAATGGTTCCCAACTTTTTCACCTACGTACCCCTTGGCATCCCATTACCATAAACTGTGTGCTTCAAATTAGGGTGCAGGGCTAGGGGAATTCTCCACCCTCTCATCTTCAGGACACTTCCTCATCATCTCTGATAGCGAGCACAAGCATGCCAAAGAAGGAGTTAAAATCCATAACAAATGTTGTCCCATACAAACAGCTGTTGATAGGAAAGGAACAAGCAGCACAAGCCCCTGCGGTAGTGGTGGAACAAGAACAGATGCCACTTCGCAGCAAAAGCCAATTGTCTGTGATCTCACTCAGTGGGTAGGGAGAGAAGGAAGAAGCCAAGGGGTTTGTAACTGCTTAGGATATAATTTAGCGATTGTTGACATAGGTGTCATTTTCCACCAGTAATCTACTTTTTTCACATATCCCTAAATGTCCTGGTTTATACCCCTCGGGATACCCCCGATTGGGAATCACTGCTCTAAAGAACACATAGTATAAGCATGTACGACCATGGCAGGGCAACAACTTTGACAATACTAATCAGAATAACTACAAAACAGAAGAAAGGGCCAACAAGACATTCTACAGTGTTTTCTAATTACAATAAGAGGAGAAAAAACTATAACAGATTATCAAGAATTCTTTACCAGGAATATCAATAATGGTAGGAAAGCTTTCCTGAGAATCAGCTTCCTTTCCCACTACTCTTTCCTGCAATGTTCTGCTGTGATGTATTCCCAGTTTTCACTCTTAAAACACTCACTGCAACAATAGTATGCAAAAGCCCTGATCCATGCTATGGATTAATTTGGCATGCATCTGAGAATGCGCCCAAGAATCTTCAGCAGCTCACAGAAAAATCAATGTGAAAAGGGTTTAATGAACTCAGAAAGTTACAGATCACTGGCCCAGAATATTATCAAGCAATGAAAGTGCAGAGAAGTACACAAGACAGACTTTTATTTTGATGGGTTTTTTAATTGTTTTTCTATTATTGTTATGTTGTGTCTGCCATCCAGAGTACTAACTTCGGTAAAAACTGGGTGAAAAAAAGTCAAATAAATAAATAAGTATTTCTGATGTAACATATTTTCCTGCTATCTAGAGATTTTTTCTTTGCACTTCTTGTGCCTTTTGACACACAAAACCAACTCTTAGTATTGGATCCCCTTTTCAAAATTCTGCTTCTTTATCCAAGTAATGTGTTTCAAACCAAAATAGTTAAGTTTGAACTGCAGATATCTTTATTTCATTTCATGCATTCAGTGACTTAAAACAACCTCTCACTGTGAACCACATTAATATTTTATTATGAATTTAAAATATTAATATTAAACCTGTGTAAAGGACCTATAAATACATAACCAACGGCATGACTAGGTGCTGTGTTGTTTTTTTCAATTACTGTACCTCAAGAAAATCTTTTGGTGCATAAACAGGTCGGAAGAGACTAAGATCTGAAATTAAGAAGATACATAAGTTATTTAATTAGAAGTATTAATGAACTATTTCTAGTTCAAATTATGTTGTATTTGTTTATTTATTTGTACAGTATATGTCAATACCTCTGATTTAGTGTACAACACTATTCTAAGTGGTTTAAACATATAAGCAATGATTCAAACATCCACGAAAACAATTATAATAACCAAATAAACACAAAATAATGACAGATTACTTGCATTCATTTAGCCTAATAGTACCCATCGCATCTGTTCAGGTTTAAATATGCCTGGAAAATACATGTGAAAGACATTCTGAAACTAGGATTTATCTTCCAGTTATCAGCCATGATTTGAAATAACAGCTGAGATAGATATAAAAATAACATTTTTGTCCTAAACTGTTTGGAATAGAAGAGAAACAGGGAGCAGATGAATATAAATATTATAAATAACTGGTTGTTGTGGGTTTTTCAGGGCTCTTTGGCCATGTTCTGAAGAACACGGCCAAAGAGTCCGAAAAACCCACAACAACCATTAGATGCCGGCTGTGAAAGCCTTCATGAATACATTATAAATAACTGTTTCCCCAACTGGATGGAGTGCCCCTCTGAGGGCATGAAGATATTCCAAGGGGGCACGAGGAGGGAAAATACATGGAAAGGGGTTGTGAAGACATTCCAGGAGGGTGTGAAGAAGTGGAAGACATGGAGCATACAGAAAGGGGCAGAAATGAAGACAAATGACAATGACAGCACTGATAGCTGCTGGTCACACAGACACACACAGATTATTTCAGGAAACAGGGCTGGCATAAATAATGGAGAAATGTAAAGCTTTCTCTCATGGCAAGGGTAAGTAGCAGGAATATACATGCCCATGTGAAAACAGCATATACCTAGAGTTACTGCCTGCTACTACCGCATATTTTCATCTTCTCCTTCCAAAGGGAGAATATGTAAATTCATCCTTACTGACATAGATTCAGTATTCTAATATTCCATATATTTTTCCAAATATTGGTATTTGCTTCTTCCCCTAGATCATACTCCCATCAAGTTTTAAGTAAATTCTTCTGATCTTCAAATCATATTTTGTAAATTTTGCTTGCTATCTCTTTCATTACCTTAATTTCACACACACTTTCCTTTTGTAATATCATCTCTTCAAATTTTTGTAAATTCCCTATATTTACCATTTCTTTTTACCCAATCCTCTCCATTACCTTTATTGTGTTTTCTATTATTAGTAACGTATCATTGGTAAATAAGCAAATTTTAACACATCTTTAATACCAGTGAGGGGGGAGAGAAACAAGCAGAATGTGGGAGTGTCCATTTATGGGCACTGAACAGATCCAGAAAGCTATGTTATGTTTGATGGGTCAGGTCAACAGAGGCACTATGGTAGAAAAAGGCATTTTCAGAGCAGAGAAATTATACTTGTAGTTACTCCTTTTTTAGGATCCCTTATCCATGGATCCCCATATCCGTGGAATCAGTATCCACTTATTTACTTATCCACAATCTGAAAACATTTACAAAATATTAAAGGAAAAAAATTAGAAAAATATATTTCCAAAGATGAAGTTACCAGAACAGGCCACTAGAAGGAGCCAGAAATCAAGCTATGTATAGTGTTTGCTAGAGAAATATATTTCCACCATGTAATTACCAGAACTGACCACTAGAGGGCACCAGAGGCCATTCTATGTGTAGCATTCACTATTATAACAGCATTCACTACAATTCACATTTTTCAGCATCCAAAAGGGGGGAACTGATCCCGCCAGGATATGGGGGTTCTACTGTATATTATACATTCTTGTTGATACTTGGCTTGTACTCTAGAAAAAGTATAAAAAGAACCACTGCTTAATTTTCAGTGAGAAATTCTACATGTATACTGTGTGTTTTTTGCCGTCTCCTGCTTTCAAAAGCAATAAAGTTTTATTGTTCTTTTACCGAGATTGACTCTGTGTCCTCTTTTGCAACCCCTAAGCCCACAACTAGATAACAAACTGGCCTGAAAGGCTGCATCATCCCCACATCAATACCTAAGAATTGTTATCTTTTCATTTACACTTTCTTTTACTTGTTGAGTTTCTTGTGAAAACATTATATCTGCTTTATCCTTATTTAATAACACCTATTCTTTTCTTCTTTAAAACAGTTCCCAGATCTTTTACATTTAAAGCTGATATTCTTAAACTATTCATCATAATTATTTATTCTTTTCTCCCTCTTCTCCCAAATCTCTTGTGAAAATCCCCCTAATGATCCACAACAAATTAATAAGCAACCTGCATACCCAAACAAAATAACCAATAACCATCACCCCAATCCACCACTCCCATACATAATATCCATCAATATCCAATTTCCTCTGGGATGCTTCAATAAAAGCTTTCAATTTCACCTTCTTCAGCGTAGCTTGTTGGGAGTGTGGACTTGAATTATGGTTGTGTTGATAGGTTATCTCCAGAGTCTGACTGACAGTATTTAGTCACACCTTGCACTATAGCCTCTAACTACCTGTGCTACATCGTGCCTCAGTGTAAGAGACACTCAATTTCTTCTAAGTTTGTCATTTCTAAAGCAAAACATTTTGTTTGACTGAAAGTGGAACATTACAATCAACTTTACTTCACTAACACCAAGCACTGCAATGTTTATAGTTTCCATGCTTGGCTTTATAGTTTCCAGGCCACTGTGATTCAAACTTCTCATGTTCCATGTTCCAGTTGTCCAGCATGAGACTTTCCTTTCACCTCTGTGCACCTCAGCTTTAATCTAGTTGTGTGTCCTTAGCTAAATAATTATTCATACTTGTCCTTTGCTCTTCACCAGTAGCTGACTGAGTTCTTTCCAAATTGGGAGTCGTGTCTTCCAGCACTATCTCTTATTTCATTTTGAACATTCACACCATAGCGTTTTCAAGATAAGAAAGGTTTAGTTATGGTCCTCCAGTGCCTCCTTCTGCACAAAGCTAATATAGCCCGGGCACCACCATCATTGCCTTTGAAAGATCCTCCTAAGGGTCCAAGCTTGTAATGGAGTTTAGCATCTTAATGGCATTGCTCTCAGGTTCTCTGACATACAAAAACCTCTCACCATGTTAAGGTGCACATCCAAGAAAGGGCCCTACTATAACAAAGTTTTAACCTTCTATTTCTCATTTAAAAATTTTCAGCTTACCTTGATTAATAATTCTCACATTCCATTATATGTGTTGTGTGCAGCATCAGGCATTCCTTTGGCTTCTGTGCACACCAGGAACTAGATGTCTTTCTTGATTTATTCAATCACTTTTTTTCACAAATGCACAGTTAAATTTTTTCCTTTGCTCTTCCACAATAGCTGAGTACCTTCCAACCTGTGAGTCCCTTGTTCAAGGATCATCTCTTGTTTTGTGTTTCATTATCCCATCATGGTTACATAAGTATTTTGAAATGGTTTACCATTGCCACCTCCTGACAGTACTAACAACAGTTAGCTTGAATGTCTCTGCTGTTGCCTGTGAAAGATCCTCCACCAGTCTCAACTTCAAATATCATTGTTGTCAAATAGCTGCCCTTCAGGAATTTCTCTACATTTTTCTATATGCCTCAAAATCTCTAGCTTGCTCCAGAAGCATCCGAGAATAAAGCTCAGCTAAGACTCCACTTATTTGTAATCTTAAAATTATCATCCTCTCATCATCTTTAATCTCAAAGTCCCAACAAGCTCTCTCAAATGAAATTAGGAAAGATTCAGGACAAGCTCCTTTCCTATCATGGGAAATTTCTTTAGGTCGACTTTTCAGAGATTTCCCGCACTATAATAATAATAATAATAA